TTGCACTGCCTCAAATCTTTGTAGGACAAGTCCTCACTGCCCCCTCTGCCATCACCCAGCCACTCAAGGAATTTGGGCTTCTATCCCTAACACTAAGGCACTTGACTGCTCACCAGAAGGCTGGCGGTTCAAACCCACCAGCCACTCCTCGGAAGGAAGGTTGGGCAATCCTAGTTCCGTAGTGATACTGCCTCGGAAACCCAAAGAGGGGTCGCTATGAGTCGGGGCCGACTCGACAGCAAACAACAACAACAACAATCCCTACCACTATGGAGAGACTGAGGAATAGGGGATAGTAGCCAGCTGGCCACATGTAGCTCACCTAAGAAGGATCAGTAGACTTCTGTCTTCATCAGGCACTTACCTGGTTGATTAAGTGTCTGATTAGGTTCTAGAGTTCCAAAACAGTTGTTTTTTCCAGTTTAGTTTTTGTTCTTACATAGAAACTGAGCCCTAGAACTTCCCTCTCAGTTGTTTTCCGTGACATCACTCCACCCACAAATTCGTCAATCCAATCTAACCTGCGAATATTTCCTTTTTTCCTAAGAATAAAATTTCACATGTGTTGGACTGTATGAATGTGTTTCATGAGTTTCTCGTGCTCTGTCTTCTTTTTCTTTTTTGGTTGTTTTCTATTGATCTTTAGTTTGAACTTACTAGTCTTGTATTTTTATTGTGTCAATTTTTATATTAATTTATCAGTTAATTTTAGATGATTTTTTTTTTTACTCTAAAATACTGTTGAGTTTTTTAAAAATCAATTCCGATTTTCTTTTGGCATTCTCTTTTTGTCAACTGTTTCCACCTTTTGCTTTCTTGATGTATTAATAGTCATTGTAATATTTTTCTCTGTGAACTCCATTATCTGCTTCTTTGAATCACTGTTTCTTGTTGGTTTCCTATTTAACATTTTTAAAATTTGTGTGTGTGTGTTGGACACTGTAAATAGAAGATAATAGAGACTGATGATAGTACTATTCACCATAGAGAATTTGCCCTTTTCTGATTTTCAGATAGGGTTGGTAATCAATCTCTAAAGGAATTTAACTGGGTGAGAGCTAAGTTGAAATTTTATCTTACTCATTCCACTGTGATTCATCCTGGTTCATCACATGTTACATTCCTGACTTTTTGCTTGTTAGCAAAAAGTATCTTTGATACTCAGTTTAGTCTTCCAGATGTTTGAGTTACTGTCTAATATCTTTTTCTTTCAGCCTGGAAGACTATGTGTAGCATCTCTTGTAGGACAGGTCTACTTGTAATGAACTCCTTCAGATTTTCTTTATCTTGGAATGTCTTGATATCTTAATTAAGAATATTAAAAGTGTTGCAAGGGGAGACCAGTATTTATTGCAGTTACATTTTCTCAGTGGAAATTTGTCTCATAAGTAATTTCAAGGAAGAAAGGAAGGTTGGGCAATCTACTTCCATAGTGATACCACCTCAGAAACCCAAGGAGGGGTTGCTGTGAGTTGGGTCAGACTCCACGGCAGTGAGTTTGGTTTGTTTGCTTTTTCCTAGCTTAGTCTTTCAGCCTCTCTTACCACCTTAACACTCTGGAAATATCCTGGAGGGGAAGTCAACTGGGCATTTGTACTTTTCTAGATTCCAAGCCATCATGCCAGCCCATGGGTTAATCCCATGGGTTAAAGGTCTGGGGAGATCTCTTTCCTCAGCAAAGAGTGTCTGCCTAAACAAAGTTTAATTCTCAGCCCTTGCTCATAATCATTATCTGCCTAATTGCTTCCATAGCTCTTTGATTTTTTTTTTTTTTTTTTAATTTGTTTGCTTTTTGCATCAGGAGTGATGACCTGTAGGTTCCTACTATACCCTACCTGGAAGTAGAAGTCCTATTTAGATTGCCATTAATTTCTCTATATAATATATTATTGTTTTCAATTTAGAATTCTTGCATATTTTATTATATGTTTTACTGGATAGTTGGTATTTTTCATTATATATGGTTTATTTTTTAGGTTTTAATTTTCTAACTTTTCTGATATAGAAAAATATTATGGATTTTTAAATATTTCTCCTTGTACCTGGTACTTTTCTAAAAACTTATATTTTAATAAATTATCTGTAGTAGATTCTTTTGGATTTTCTATGTATGCAATTATATATGAAAAATAACTGTATTATTTCTTATACCCTTTATTTCTTTTTCTGCCTTACTGGTAGTCCCAGTTAAGACCTTTCCTAAATATCAAATAGAAATGGTAAGAGTTGGCATTCTTATTTTGTTCCTAATCTCATGGAGGACATTATCAACATTTCAGTATTAAATGTGATGATTGCTATAATTTTGTTTTATAGTATCCCTTTGGTACAAGTTTTTATCATACGTAATTATTGAATTTTATCAAATGCTTTTTCTGCCTGTATTGAGAGGATCATATTTATTTTCACCTTTATTCTGTTGATATGGTGAATCACACTGATGGATTTTTTTTTTCATAGACTTTAATTTTTAGAGCAGTTTTAGGCTTATAGAAAAATTTTACAGAAAGTTCAGAGTTCTGGTATTTCCCTTTTCCCCACTGTACTCTTGTTTCTTCTGTTACTAGCATCTTACATTCAGGTGGTACATTTGTTACAATTGATGAACTAAAATGGGTACACTATTAACTAAAGTTTATAGTTACATTAGGGCTCACTCTTTGTGTTGTACCTTTCTGTAGGTAATGTCTTTGTCCCAGCATTACAGATTCATGCAGAATGGTTTCACTGCCTTTAAAATGTCCTATTCATATCTTCCCTTCTTCCCTTGAAGACCTGGCAATCACTGTTTTTTTTTTTTTTTTTTTTTTTACTGTTTTCTCTTTTCCAGATACAATTGGAGTAATACAGTATGTAGCTTTTTCAGTATGTATTTAAGGTTCCTCCATGTCTTTTTGAAAGTAGTTCTGATGGCTTCATGGTAAAGCATTTGGCTGCTAACCAGAAGGTTGGTGGTTCAAACCCACCAACTGTTTCACAGAAGAGATATGAGGCAACCTGCTTCCATAAAGACTTTTTAGCCAGTTGGAATCAACTCAATGGGAGTGGGTTGGGTTTGGTCTAGTTCTCATGTCTTTTTGTAACTTAATAGCACATTTATTTTTATCACTGAATGACGCTCTATTGAATGAATCTCTCACAGTTTGTTTATCCATTTAACTACTGAAGAACATTTTAGTTGCTTCGAATGTGGGGCAATTATAAACAAAACTGCTATAAACATTTATGTGCATTTTTATGTGGACATAAGTTTCCAACTCATTTGCCTAAGTACCTCAGAGTGCAGTTGCTGAATTGTATGCTAAAGCTGTGTTTATCTTTATAAGAAACTGCCAGACTGTTTTCCTAAGTGGTTGTACCATTTTGCATTCCCACTAGCAGTGAATGAGAGTTCTTGTTGCTCTACATCCTTCATAGCATTTGGTGTTGTCATTCATTGACTTTTGCATGTTAACTAACCTTATATTCTTGGGATAAATCATCTTGATAGGAGTACACACACACACACACACATATACATGAGCATGTGTACAATGAGCTAGAGAAAAGTAAGACACCCTGCGTGCAGATATACTGTATTTGGTTTAGTAACATTTTGTTTAGGATTTTTAACAACTGTGTTCATAAGTGGGATTGTGCTATTCTTTTCTCACAATTATCTTTTTAAATTAGTGAATTGTAGCTAGGGGGCAGAGATTCAGAAGTTCTGTTTTCGTAATACAGATTACTCCAGTCCAAATAATATCCCTCCATCTTTTTAAAGGATAAACTTTGAGTAATTTTAGATTTACAGAAAAGTTAAAAACGTAATAGAGAGTTCCTGTTTCTTCCTTACCCAGTTTCTCATGTTAGCATCTTATATTGTCATAGTACATTTGTTAAAATTAAGAAACCAACATTTGTACATTACTGTTAACTAAACTCATACTCCAGTCTTTCTTTGAATTTCTTAAGGTTTCTCATTCATGTCCTTTTGCTGTTCCAGAACCCAATCAAGGATGTTACATTGCATTTAGTTGTTAGGTCTCTGTAGTCTCCTCTTGTCTATGATAGTTTCTTATTCTTTCCTTGTTTTTCATGAATTGATAGTTTTGAAGAGTACTGGCCAAGTATTTTGTAGAACATCTCTTACTTTAGGTTTGCCTGGGTTTTTTGTTTGTTTTTCATGATTAGACTGGGATTATGCGTTTTGAAAGTACCACAGAGGTGAAATATTCTTCTCATACATTATAGCAGAGTGAACACAGTATCCATGTTATCACTGGTGACATTAAATTTGATCACTTGGGTAATACAGTGTTTATCAGGAGTCTCCATTGTAAAGTTACCATGTTTCCCTTTTTATATTCTGTTCTTATCCAGCCATTAAGTCTAACCCATACTCAAGACGTGATGAGAGGGTTAAGCTTCACCTCCTAGAGAGGAGGGGGTACCTACATACATTAATTTAAATTCTGTTATAATCAAGATTTGTCTTTTTTCCCCAAAATTGTTGTGAAATCATTTATTTATTCCATCCTATTTTAATATGAATTTGCTGTAATTTTAACACATGTTTACAGCCTTGAAAACCTGTGATTTCCTTGTTGGCATATAAACTCTTTGAGGGAAGGATTGTATATCTTGTTTATCTTTATACACTCTAACTATTTAGCTTAGTCCCTTAATTCATGGTAGACTTCTTGTAATTGAAAAGAATAAATAAATATGTTTTTATTTTAACTGAAAAGTACCCTTTCCTTTGCTAAATTATATAATACATTCTAATGTGCAATTAAAAGTAAGCTTTAAATAAATAAAAATAAATTCATACAAGTCCAGTTATATTATCTTAAAAAACAAAGGGTACCTACAAAGTACCTTACACATTTGTTGATGTAATTGCATAAAATATTTCTTAAAGCTGTTTAAATATTCCTTTAAGCCACTTTTGGAAAGATGTTTTGATATTTGATTGGCAAAGGATAAAACCTTTTGTTTCCTATCTCTTTATTGTTTAGACCACCAGAGGAGATTAAGACCCCATTTGGAAAATTATCATCAGATGCTGTCACTCAGATAACAACAGAAAGTCCAGAGAAGACCTCATTTTCATCTGAGATTTTTATTAATGTTGATGATCGTGGACATAAAATTCCAGAATCCCATCCCCAGCAGGTATACAAAGTTCCTATCAAGCTTGGATCACCGTCTTCAGTCCAACAGATTACAGCTTCTCGTGACAAAGAAGGTAAAAGAATGTGTTTGCATTGTAGCTCAGAATGACGGCTTTCATTTGTAACTCTCTCCAAAATTTGTAATTTATTAGTAACTGTGGCTTTCTCGTCAGAAAACCTAATTGTAATTTAATCATTAGGATCTACCATAATCATACGAATCTCTGATGTACATAGCTATGAAGTGTGATTTATTATATTTATACCTTAAATATGTTTTACTGTCAACTATAATTTTTTATATTTCTAGTGCAGCTAACAACATACACTAACAACATACATGGAACTTATATTTCTTGTGGTAACATTATATTTTCATATCGTGATACTTGGAATAATGCTAGAAAACTATAAAGGTCTGATTTTAAGAAGGCAAGATGAATTATTGGCATCTCGTATTACAGTGATATTCAGTGCTGCAATAAATAAATGTAAAAATATATAATAGCACAAACATAACAGCAGTTTGCTATTTCTTGCTCATAGAACAGTCATCAGGGACCAAAGTTGATTATGACTCCTGTCTTTTAAATGTAGACCCCATTTGTTGTTGTTGTTGTTATAATGCCGTCAAGTCGGACCCAACTCATAGCGACCCCTCCTTGGGTTTCCGAGGCAGTATCACTACGGAAGTAGATTGCCCCATCTTCCTTCCGAGGAGACCCCATAATTAACCTTGAATACACTGTCCCAGTCAAATGGAAGGGACAAAGAGCATAGAGGTTTGCATGTGGGAAGTTTTTATGAGCCTGCCTGAGAGTGGCCCAGATCACAAGCCACTGGCTAGGAATGTTGGTTAGCTGTGTTTTCCAGGAAAAAGTAGAAATAGATTTTGGTGAACAGCTAGCAGTCCCTTCTCATAGTCTACATCAAGTGTGCTGTATGCTGTAATTTCAATGCTGTTTTAATAGTGCTTATATTATATGACAAATATATATAGCTATATAGACACACATACTATTATCTATTACTATTATCTATTATCTATTCAAAATCAATTTTAAGTTTTCCATTTTATGCATTTATCCATGGGATATGCCAAATGAAAGGAAAAGGCTTGGTTCAGATTTTAAAGTACGTTGAATTTAATTTAAATAAGTACATTTATATGTTAAGATGAGGTGGTTGTACTTTTTTAAACACTTATATAAAATAAAACTGTACAAAAGAAAAACATGCAGTTACATAAATTATGACAAGAAAACACCTGTATGTGTCAGTTACCTATTACAATGGCTAATCCAGTGCTGAAAGAAACATATTTTAAAGCTCTGTTACATTAGATGAATCAAGCTGTATAGATTTTACATCCAAGCACCTGGGAGAAAGTACTCCTTTAAAAGATTGGTATTATTTGATTTACTAATATAGCATTATTTTAAATACTGTGCCAGGGTTTGCCAGAGAAACAGAACCAATGGAAGATATATAGATACAAATATATATATGGAGTGTCTGGGTGGTGCAAATGATTAATACGTACTTGGCTGCTAACTGAAAGGTTGGTGGTTTGAGGCTACCCAGAGGTGCCTGGGCATAAAGCCCTAATGATCTATTTCCAAAAATCAGCCATTGAAAATCTTACAGAGGGATTGCCATGGGCCAGAAATGACCCAATGGCAACTGGTTTGATTTTTAAAGGTTTGTATTTATAGAAAGAAAGAAGAAATAGCTAGGTAGGTAGATACGTAGGTAGCTAAATAGACAGGCATACAGGCACACAGACAGGCAGATGCATATACAAAGAGAGTCATTGATTGGTTTTTTTAAGGAATTAGCTCATTTGATTATAGAAACTGGCAAGTCTGAAGTTTGTAGGGCAAGCCAGCAGGCTGGAAACTCAGGTAGGGGTTGATGTTGTAGTCGAGTCCAAAATTTTTAGTGCAGGCTGGTAGGATTTAAATTTAGGCAGGATTTGAGGTTGTATTTGTGATGCAATATTTCTTCTCCTATGAGGAAACCTCACTTTTTACTCTTAGGACCTTCAACTGATTGGATGAGGTCCACTCACATTACTGAGGGTGATCTCCTTTTCTTAAAGTCAGGTGATTGTACTTGTTAAACACATCTACAAAATACCTTCACAGCAACATCTAGGTTAGTGTTTGATTAAATAATTGGGTATTGTAGCCTAACTAAGTCAACACATAAATGTAACCAATAGAACTACCAAACTTTGGAGGAATAAAATTAATACATCAATAATCGTAACAATAACAGCTACAGTAATGACAAAATATAAGTGGGGACTATGGCCTTTTTTTAAAAAAAATCTTCCTTCCTTTCCACATGTTTTGTTTTCCTTGATTTTAGCCATTACCATCATTGCCTGGGTGGTTTTTTGTTTTTTGCCTGATGGAGTAGCACAAATACTGCCAAGTAATCTAAGACCTCACTAGCCTTGCATGTGTAAGTTTTAAGTTAACTTTTTGTTAACTGATAAAGGGCCCTGGTGGCGCCAATGGTTAAGTGCTTGGCTGCCAATTTAAAAGTCAGCAGTTCAGGAAAGAAACTGAACAA